ATGCCTTTTGTTGTACTAAACCACGCATAAAGCTGAGCAGCTTTAGGTCCCAGGGCTGGCTGCCAGCCTGAAGCCCAGAAACCTCCCCAAGCTCAAGCGTGTCCAGGGGAAGTGCTCCTAGATGGAGGTCATCCGTGGGCAACCAGGACAAAGCAACCACCCTAAAAGCCTTTTTCTTCTTTGCCTAGCCACAGCCTCCTAAGGGAAAGGTGCAGGCAGGAAACAGCAGACAGGTAAACCCCAAGCCACATATCACACCCCCCAGCTAAAGGCAGGGTAACAACAATGCAGTGCTGACGCAGGGGACTCTCAGTTCTCTGAACACAGCATTCAGGAGGATGTCCACATGCCCTACTTCTCCTGTAATCTGAAGTGTTTAAATACCACACTGGCAAAACCTTTCCCTCTGCTCCGACCTCATTTTGCAGCCTGGCTGCCTTCAGCTTTTTGTTCTCAAGCAGTTGTGCTCATCAGCTGGGATGTTCAAATGCTCCTTTTTTATCAATTAATTTTAGGAGGCGTATGCATGTACTGTGCTTTAATGCTATTGTATGGCTGTGTAAAAGCATTTTCATCATGCCTGATTCTGAAATAATAACATGAAATGAAAATTCCTATGAAGGCAAGTGTCATTAATTTTTCAGACTTCCTTATGCTGATGAGCAAACTCCAGAGCTGGGGAAACCTGGTCTTGCCAAGTCGTGTGCAGTGATTGCAGGTGCAATAGGAAAGGAGCTGTCTGTGCCTCTCAGCCCCACCAAAATCCCTGACTGGACCCAGGTGTAGAGGCAGCTTCCTGAGACCCACGTTTCTGCGTGTGACTCAGACTCCTCAGCAGAGCAACTGCCTTCAGAAATTCAACGCTTGCCAGGCACCCCTATGCAAACAAAATGATTCACTCACAGATTGTTACCAGGCTTGATAGCACTTTCCATGGAATAGGAAGCCAATCTTCAGGATGTGATTTGCTAGCATTTAGCAGATGTGCAGTGACTTTATTACAGTAGGATGGAAAAAAGAGAACTATAGTGTTAAAATAGCTGGGTTCCTTTATTGGATTGTTGGCTGTTTTAAGTTTAAAAAGCCATCTCAAAGGGCATTAACAGTGTTCATCTATTAGATACTGTCAGTAACATTTAGGATCTGATTGTGGGAAAGCCCTGAAGGATGGTCAATATAAATTACAAAAAAGACTGTTCTGCTCCATCAGTATCAGGAAGATTCCAACCCTCCCAAAGTTTGTAGGTATTCCTGTTCAGAGTTCTATGTGAAACTGTTTCTAAATATATAGGAATTCAGAGAGTGAGTTTTCTTTCAGTTATCAATACTGTCAGATACCAAGTCCCAAGACATATATTATTCTAGCTATTTCTATACCCAGTCCTAAAATTTCACAGTTAGACTGACAACTAATCAACACTTCATACAGCATGTTGTTAACAAGAAATATTGTAAGGTGGTATTTGAGTGGGGATTTCTTTTTTCACTTGTCATAAACATGTTACCTTCCTGGTTTTATGGAAAAGGAAAGTTACACCATGTCACAAACACAACGGCTGTTACTGCATTGCCTTCCCTTCCTGGTACCATCACTTTCTGCAGTTCCCACAGACCTTTAGTAATACTAGTGAGTTAAAGCCAATGAGCTCTCCGATGAGTTAACCTGAGCCACGTATTGTTCCTTTATATTCACACAGGAAAAACTCCAGGCTAGATGATGCTTGTAGTCCAAGCTAGGCTCCAGGTATGGCTAAGCATTAGTGATGGAGAGGGCAAAAAAAAGGAGAGATATGAGAGAGGTGGCATCTTAACAAACACTAAATTTCCTCATATTCCCACCAAACAATGGACTAGAAGAGCTCAAAGCCCCTCTGACTTTTAAAATCTGTCTCCAGATATTCTGTGAGGTAGAGCCACTGGTGGGTCCCAGGCCCCACTGTCTCTTGATCCGTGAGTGAGAAGACCTGCACTGGCAGGAGAGCCTTTACCTGTGCTCTGAATAGCAACAGAATATCTGCCTCAGCATCGATGTTGTTTTCAAAGCGGAAATTGGCTTCCAGGTGTAGATACATTTGCTTGCCTGTTAATTTCCAGGTACTGTGGCATTTCCACAGACAGCAGCTTTATGATACTGAGGGATTATGGAGAGGGTGCTCAGCACATACATCTCTCAGAGCACGAAAGGTTAACCCCAGAAGGTGGGTAGAGCCATATCACTTTGCAAACCATTAAATTGCTTTGACATGGTTGGATTTGTTTCACTTGCATATGGTGTTTCATTCAAGCCAAGATGACCATTTGATCAGGTCTAGGAGACCAGTTTTGAGCTTTCTCATCATTAAAGATGCTTGACATGACAGGCCCAGTTCCTCAGTAGATCTTACAAGCAGATAAGGAGTAGGAACATCCACCGACAAAAGCAAGAGTTACAGCAGTGCAAACCAGCTTGAAGTTGAATGAAGCAAAAGACTCAGAGTTGCCTGGATATGTTTTTACAGTATCATTCACTTCAGAGCTAAATTCTACTCTTTTGAAATCTGGAAGATTGTGGAATCAACACATACTGAGAGGTTGGGAAGTAGCTGTGTAGATGGCTCAGTACATTTTCTTCTCAAGTACTGGTTTAGCTCACTAAGCCTAGGAACGTTACTTTTTCTCTCAGAGCACTTACCTTTTCTAAAATTGCTTGTGTTACAATTTGCTGTAAATTTCAAGTGGACAAGGGTTTTGTGTCTAAATTCAGTTTATTGTATGACACTAGAGGCCACAGAAGAGCTTGTTTTGCAGCAGTATGATACTAACGTTTCACTAATAGCTCTTTCAGTAGTGATGCAACATAAATTGTGACCCAAGCTTAGTTTAAGAGATACTATTTCAGTGGCAAGGACATCTGTTGTATGCCACCGCCATGAAAAGTTCTTGAAGGAAAAGTAATTACTCCTTTGCTGATGACATAAGAAGTCAAGTTCTTAATTTTCTAGAAAGAATGAAGCATAGTCTAGTAAAGACACTGAAGGTGTCACTGGAAATTCTTTGTTCACTGGAATTTCATGGCAGCTTCCCCCCCCCACCACCTATTTAACATGCTAGAGTTGTTTCTTTCATAGATAATTTTATGACAGAGGATTCTTGTTGACATCTGGCCTTCGGATTAATTGAAACTAAAAGGGATAGAAAAGTAGTTAATTTCTTCCGTCAATAGTTGCAATATCTGTATTTTAATTAACAAATAAGAAAAACAGTCCTCAAGCCCATCAAGATTTGCAGCGATGCTGATGGGAGGGGATGCATGCCAGTAGGCTTCTTCTTCAGGCAGAAGCAGTTATGGGACTGTTAGGAGTGAAAGGGGATCTGGGTGCCTTGTCTGCACTAATGATCCTGCTAGCCAACACGAGGAACCTTGCCTGGACTGCAGATATGTCGGTGAAGACCAACAACAAAAAGTCTCTTCCATCTTTATCCATTGGGCAATGGAAACAGGCTTTTGGGAATGGTGGCACATGCCTGTTCCCAGGTCAAACAGCAAGTGGAATGCAAGCAATAGAGGAATTAGTCCAGTCTAGACTTTATTGAGGAGAAATTGCATTTTCTTCTTTATTTACATTTAATTTTCACTCTGCGGGTGATGGAGCACTGGAACAGGCTGCCCAGGGAGGCTGTGGAGTCTCCTTCTCTGGAGATATTCAAGACCCGCCTGGACAAGGTGCTGTGCAACCTGCTGTAGATGACCCACAGAGGTCCCTTCCAACCCCTACCATTCTGTGATTCTGTGTGATTCTGTAATTAAACAAATTATTAAAATGGTGCATTTTTAATTGTGACTGTGGGAACAGGAATATGCTGTTTCACTGTAAGTAATTTTTGTGTTACTCTAAATGCATTGACTTTGTGGGATCTACTAGTAAAAAATTAATTTCCTGGAAGAGATAATGATAAGTAGATACAACTTATCTGAGCTAGGACAGGAAATAATTATTCTGTAACAGAATCAGGACTCACATTTTTTATCCAGTATGGCCATGAGCAGTCTGAGGCAATTCTGTGTGGAAGAACACATACTATTTCTAACGTGGTTTGTAACCAGAGTATGTATTGTAGAGAGTAATGCTAATAAAGTAACTCCATTTATTTCAGGCACTGTTGAATCAAGCTTTAGTAATATAACAAAATAGTGGTGAGACGCATATAACAGAGGAGGGAACTTCCTGCTCTGTGAGACACCAAGGTTTTCAGCAGTCCTGGGTACAACTTGCTATTGGTATAAATGAGTGTTTGTACCAGGTGAGGTCTGAGAGTATTGTGATGGCTGTGGTGTGTTCAAGTCAGGAAGCCCTAATGAGCCATAATCGAAAGAATGTGATTCAAGAAAGCCAATGGGATCCTGGGGTGCATCAAGAAGAGTGTGGCCAGCAGGATGAGGGAGGTTCTCCTTCCCCTCTACACTGCCCTGGTGAGGCCCCATCTAGAGTACTCTGTCCAGTTCTGGGCTCCCCAGTTCAAGAAAGATGAAGAGCTACTGGAGCGGGTCCAAAGGAGGGCTACAAAAATGATCCGAGGGCTGGAGCACCTCCTATGAGGACAGGCTGGGAGAGTTGGGCTTGTTCAGCCTGAAGAAGAGAAGGCTGCGAGGGGACCTAATAAATGCTTATAAATATCTGAAGGGTGGGTGTCAGGAGGATGGGGCCAAGCTCTTTTCAGTGGTGCCCAGTGACAGGACAAGGGGCAATGGGCACAAACTGAGGCACAGGAACTTCCGTCTGAACATGAGGAAGAACTTCTTCCCTCTGAGGGTGAAGGAGCACTGGAACAGGCTGCCCAGGGAGGTGGTGGAGTCTCCTTCTCTGGAGATATTCAAGACCCGCCTGGACAAGGTCCTGGGCAGCCTGCTGTAGGTGACCCTGCTTCGGCAGGACGGTTGGACTAGATGACCCACAGAGGCCCCTTCCAACCCCTACTATTCTGTGATTCTGTGATTCTGTGAATGGTAACTTACAAAGACATTTTTATTTGTCTAGAAAGACTCAACATGCAACAATGTAAAGTGTAGATATATAAAGTATGGTACATTACAATTTGAGTAGAAGACTATGGCTATCCCAAAGTAGCTAAAATCAGCTTCTCAATATCACACTCATTTTGTCCACGTAGAATCCTAAAATAACCATTTTCTCCCCAAGATTTTCCCCAGGAATTTGCAGCAATCTAAAGAAAAACAAAGAGGAAAAAAATATCAATTTTAGTTATAAATTAGTGTTTAAAAATGCAAGGTGTAAACCGCAAAATGAATCTCTTGTGTAAGTTTGTTTTTTAAGAAACACAATTTCTCAGATTTGGTGCACTGAGAATCAGAATGCATCTTTTTCTGATCTCTAATAATTTGTACCTTTTTGTTTTGATCAAAATTTCCATTCCAAAACTAGGGTTAATAAAAATGGAGTACTATTCCTACAAGGCAGTTTGATAAACTGAAGCAGAAAGCATTAGATAATTCAACTACTGGATGAAGAAAGCGGTCATTGAAAGAACAATGGTCAAAATTCCAATTACAACTAATCTGTTAAAGAGAGACCCAAGATATGAAAAAGCTGACTTTTAATGCATTAGGTTTCATTCAGGTAACTATTGACATATTGAGCAATTTAGTTTCTAATATAGTCAGTAGAAGTTTTGCCCTAGTTGTCAGTGAAACTACCTACCATAAGCCCTGTCATCAGCTATGTAAACTCCAAATTACCTTCTGCTGAGCACAGGAATATTGAGATGAGCTATTAATGGTAATCAAAGTGATGAAAACTGACTCTAAATGGCTGAAAGCCATCGTTTAATTTTTTTTCTGATAGCTGGATAGAATTTGCCAAGGTTGTTTAAATAGGCAGCTTGACTTTTCCAAATGTTTTAACAAATATTATTGATTACTTTTATTGTCTCATTTGCAGGCATCAAAAAGTACTTAGTCTTCATGGGAAATTTGAATATCATTTGCGAATTTGAACAAGATTTGATACAGAAAAGAGAGTGTAGGG